ATGCGAAATGTGAGGGCACCAAAGTAATGTGAAATTGTGGATATAGTGAAGACCAAAAGCCTGCCAATTAGGACCACATCAAGTTCTCAACCCCATTCATGGTATGTTGTGAAGTTATTTACTAAAATTCAAGTTTATAAGTAAATTGTGAACGGGTATAATTTTTTAAAATTATATGTTTGAATTCATATGATTAACTGATAAATATAATCAAATACATGATAAACATTTTTTTTTATATATAAATATTCTAAAATATAATCAGAATAATTATTGAATTCTAATAAATACTTAATGATTATCTTTATAAAAAAATTATATTATTAAACCTAAAATAAATTAATTCGTTATTAAAACTAAATTAAATAATAATTAAAAAATATGAACTAAAAATTGTCTTTATACAAAAGATTATATAATTAAGACTAAAATCAATTACTTCGTTATTAAACTTAAATTAAATTATGATAAATAAAAAATTAAACTTAAAATGTTATAAAAAAGCCGAGATACTAATATTAATATATCTTTTATGAGGTCTTCAAAATTATATTTTATTCAAATATAAAAATATTATTGTTTTTTCAAAACCATACAAAAATGTATTAGAATTAAAATTGAAATGAATATAAAATAGCAATTCATTCTGATTTTCCATTAGGATAACCCAAATGAGTTGAAGAGATGAAAATCAAAGAATCACAGCATGTTACATATATAAAACCTCCAAAACACAAGTAGTATAAATTATTCCCAACAAATAAACCACCTGCTGCTGTGCCTTATTTAGAGCTCGAAACCCCCTGGCAGCACATACAAAATTCTGATACATAAACAAAAGGCGAGTTTGTAAGAAAATTAAACCAATGGTCTCTTTGCTCCACTTCTTTTAACTTGTACCCATTTCACCCTATCATCAACTTATTATCAGCCAAGAAGCTATAAGTAGGCACCTCTAGATTGTAAGGAGCCGGACCCTTACGGATTCTGCCCGATATGTCGTAGTGTGACCCGTGGCAAGGGCAAAACCAACCACCAAAGTCACCTGCATTCGGCAACGGGATGCAACCCAGATGAGTGCATACCCCAACCACGATAAGCCACTCTGGGTCTTTAACCCTAACAGCATCCTCCTGTGGGTCCCGAAGGGAGTTCACATCCACACTGTTGGCTAGCTTGATGTCATCCTCAGTTCTACGCCTGATGAAAACTGGCTTCCCACGCCACTTCACGGTCACCGTTGTCCCTGGCTCGATGCTCGTGAGGTCCACTTCCAAGGAAGCAAGGGCAAGAACATCTTTACTTGCAGACATGCTCAGAACAAACTTCAATACCAAGAGACGGATCAGAGATGCATAAACAAACCTACCACCAGTCAACACAAAGTATGCAAATGCACGCTTGCTGGGGTCGCCAGGTGGATAACGCTCATGGTTGTGCTCGTCATAAGTAATTTTAGACGTTGGATTCTTGATGGCAGCAACTGTAGCAGGGACGTCGAAACCCAGGTCATGTGTTGGGGCAATCGAACCAGAAGAAAGGCCTGAATAAGAAATCAATTGCTATAATGAACCGTTGATAAAAACAATAAATATGAAATTGTAAGACGAGATTTTGCCACTCCTAAAACATTTTCTAATATACATCTTATTCGAATCTTCTTTTTTTGGGTAATCGACTAACAGGAAGAGGAATGCTGCCTCAGACAATATTCAACCAGCACATCTATAAACTAAAAGATTTATGAGAACTAAAGAGCTTTCCACATTATTCTCAAATGCATACCCATTTACCAATGAATCACCGTTCAACTTTTTTTGGTTGCTTCTATTAAAATTTTGAAATTGATAAATCTCTCTGCTTTTAGAGTCGAGTCCACCTTGCTCCCCTCACCTCCTATTTGTCAGTTTTTGTGCCAGAAGACCAGAAGTCTTCTCCCCCTCGTGATAGCTTTTCAAATTGGTCTCAACTCCAGTCACAAATGGAACTCATTTTGCCTCAAATCCGTCATGGTGCTTACAAGCAACTCCACAGTTCTCAATCGACCCTCTACACCTCACTGTACCTCACTCATAGGCATCATTCATTCTTATATTCACCTTCACATGCAAACCTTGGTGTTCTCACTTCCTTGGAACCCCAAATATTTGTCACCAGTCACATTAATTGCTTTGGGGCAACATCATCTTCTCCGGTATCACTTCATATCCAAGATTCATTAGTGTTTCCATTGCTTATCTCTAAAGAAGACTTCGAACTTTTCCAATTCAACATCATAGTTGTCTTCTTTACTTCAATGTCTTGCTGCTCAGATTTCGCTGAGTAATCATTCCCCTTCAGCGGTCTCAGCAGACATTGAATAATTTACCATTAAATCCCTATCAACAGGACACATCACTGTTGTTGATTAAGGCAACCTATACATAGACCCTTCGCCACCACCACCCCATCTTCATTTGCCTGATCCAAAGAGGCCTTTGGGTGATTACAAGCTTGAATGAAATTGTGATTTTTTTTCGTCAACAAAGGGCTCAATATCATCGTAGTACTGCCGGCTTCTCAAACAAATTTTAGATCAAAATGAGTAACCAATCAGGAATTTTGGTCATCAGCTTTTATTGAGGTATATTGTACTGATTTATTTCAATATTTGTTGATGGTTGTCTCATTCTTTATAGTGGTTCAACGATCTCTTTGTGGTCAAGATATCATTTTGTACAGTTGGAAATTGAAGGTGTGTGAGTGTCCAATGAATCAATTGTTATTCGTTCATTATCAGTTATGCAGATTTCAGGGTTTCAGTTTTAGGGAAAGTTTGTTAACAAGGGCATGTTCCAATTGCATGTCTCAATTGCAAATTCTCATTTTCAATAGTGAATATGTTCAGCGGTGGCATTCAAGGTTTCACTATTCGCTGAAAAGGCAAGTTTTTCTCTCAAGGGAACTTCTGGAAGTAAATGCCAGAACAAAAGAAAGAAAATAAATATAATATGGTTCTAGAATCTTATGTATCAGAGCACATTATCAAAACTTACTCAAAACAAGACATCAGTTTCTTAACAAAAACACCTTGAATACATTAAACATAAATTTAGCCTACTTGCTCTTATGACATAATAATGTTTTAGATGTGCATTAAGGAACCTAGAATGATGTACATGTTCAAAATACCAACATAATATTTACACACATTCCCTATTCATGTATTAAAAATTCTACCAGATACAACCATCTTGCACTCCATGAAACCCGGAATTCAGAACAAAAATGACAAGAGTTGGCCTTAATCCTGTAATATCTGAAGCATGTTCTTCATACTAGAAGCAGACAATTAAGAGATTAACATGGTGATGTTACATAATTTAACTTCAAATTTTTGTTTCAATGGAAGTTTCACAAGTCTGCCCATAATAAAAGATAAACCATAACATGGTTCTACAACCTGATGGCTGATCCAAGATTCACGTCGTCAAACTTATCCAACACAAAACATTAGCCGTTTAACGAAACAATTTTGCCTACTGATAACACACACGAAGCCTACTTGTTCTTATGCAATATAACAAAATACCTTGCAGAACAGGATAATATACATGTTCACACATTGAAACTTACATTTGTTCCGTGTCTGTTATCAGGGAATGAGGACTATGCTAATGGCATAGTTAAGAAAATGTATCAAAATTCAAAAAATGTAATGAAAACTGAAAAATGATGGTGCCAACCATCCATTCAGCATGTTGTAAAGTACACTATTTATTACATGCAGGATTTTATTTTGAACTCAAAGAAAGATTTTGATACAATACTTTTGCATGCCAAACAACTAGCACCAGGTATTGCAACTACAAGAACAATGACACACGCCGTATAAGTTAAACTGATAAAGAAATATGATAAACCAATGTGCACCAACCATGATGCAAACATATTTAGAAGATGTCTGCTTTGTGACTTGTGAGAAACATTAGTACAGGCAATCACAATCACCCATATGATGAGGTAACAAGATGGACCATCCGAGGGTTATTTATGCAATATCATTTACAGACAACCAATGTAGAGAAATTGGAAGATCTACCAAACAGGGGAAACAACCCAACTGCAAAAGCTTGCACACTCTAAAGCATTTAAATTGGCAAAAAAATCCAGCTCCAATATCATGTTCACTTCAAAGTTCAAACAAATATGGATGTGCACTAATAGTTGGCTATGGTCTACTTATGGACAAAGAAATTAAACCATATACTGCAGCTTTATTTACACGATTTGGGTTCTGTACTGAGACACATGTGCTGATGAGTAACCTTATATACAGTCAAATGCAAATGACCCACGAAGAGCAATATTTGGTACTTCAACTTCCTATGGTTTTTTTGCATTAGAAAAAAGAAAGCAAAGTTGTACAAGCATAGAACAGTAGAAGACATGATAAAGTAATTAGTTTTCCCCTCAACTATCACGTGTTTAATATAAGTCTACATCTTGCACAATTTAAGTACTCTCAAAAGCTGAATTATTCTTTTGAGGGGGGAAATTGCACAATGGCTTCTCTAGTTTCCTGTATTTTTATGTTACACTGTGCTGTTAGTATGATATGATGAAGAGGGGTCGGCCTCTTTTATTTTCCTCACGAATCACCCTTTTTGAGATAATATATAACCACTAGCAGCCATAAAGGAAAGTGCATACACCAACCAACTCTGGCTGAGTATGCTAACCACTGAACAGCACATAACAACAGTGGCTTCAGTTGAATCAATGTAATCATCTCCTTGTAATGAGATTCAAACCAGTAGTAAATATTAAGAACCTAAAGCCGCTAATGACTTCAAAACAAACAAATAAACAAAAACCAAAACCATTACATAATTCAAACCACGAGCAGATACACAAACAAATGCCAATTGATATATCCAATTACAATCGAGAAGCCAAAAGAATCAAACACTGGTGAAGACAATTAAAAAACAATCCGCCCACGAAGAAGAAAAACTCGATTGGGTTAATCAATACCAGCAAGATTCCAATCTATAACCATGAGAAAATTGTAACACGCCTTCGTCTACAATTTTGAATGCAATGGAATTCAAAATACATCATGTGTCGATCATTAACTACTTAAACAATTACCTTCACCGAAACCAATTCACGGATGGACATCAGATCCGTGTAAACTTTCGGTGAAGGGAAGCGGACTCCAAGACCTTTTAAAGCGCATTTATACAACTCCGTAAACACCAAAACCGTGCAGACAAATATGAATAGAAATCCAGATTTCAATATGATAAATTGCGTTAAAATCACTGACCTCTGATATGATGGAGAACAGCGGAATTGAGAAATACGGGATTAGGATTGGACACGGATCTGGAAGCATCAGATGCGGAATCAACGCCGCAGCCGTTGATTGGATTCCGAGAGATGATGGCCGATGAGGCCGGAGTAGACGGCCACCATGAAGAGAGAGAAGAGCATCTCCTCCCGGCTACTCGCAACATATCGCTGTATTTCAGTGTTTCTCTATGATTCCGATTTAGGGTTTCTTCGAAAGGGAAAGATGCGAAAAACGAAGAGAAGCTAAAGGGGAAAGAGGAATTTGTAATACAACTCTTCCAACAAATGGGAGAAATAAATAAATCGATGGCGTCGATTTCTGTAATCTTCTAGAGTGAATTACGGATTTGTCCATATAGTTTGGGATACTTTACAAAATTGGTCCCTAAACTTCATTTATTACAATATAAGACTCATTGTTTGCATATTTTGTTGGATTTGGTCCCTCACCTCACATTCGTCTATCAGGTCCGTTGCAAACCTGTTTTTCTGCCATTTTTCACAATTTTAACATTTTCTTATTATTTGTTTTTATATTTTACTTACGAACAACAAGAACATTTAATCATAAATTTATACATATTTAAATAAAAAACGATTTAAAATATAAAATTTAACATCTTATCGAAAATATAAACCATAATTTTGTAAAATTTCATCCAAAATATCTGTGATACAAACCTCAAATCAAAACTTCAATACTAAAAAAACCTAATCATAATCATAAATGAAACTCGTGATCAATTGTGATGAGTAATAAGTAGTTGCAATTAAATATTACTTTAAAAAGACATATATTAAACCATGTTAATATGTTGTAACTAATTATATAATTCTAAACTGTAGATGTTAGAGATGTACATTTCTAATTACTATGGATAAAGTCTTATCAGTCCAATAAAATCTGATAACCAATAACTGGTTTGATTATTGGGTTGAAACTACGAGTAATACCTAACAATCCTAAAAGGTCATTATCGGCCCGGTTTTTTATTTTTCTATTGAAAAGTTGATTGTTGATCATGTTAAAGCACGTACAGGTGTCGAATTTTTAATTTTTGATCGGGCTTTGTATGGTTTAGTCTTAACCAGGTCCATGTGTAAATCCTTGATTGACAATTGGTCTGGATTTTCAATTGATTTAGGCCCAAAGTACCAGATCAATCTTATCGGTCCAGTTTGTAAAATGGTCAATTCCTATGAATATGTGCATCACGCTTATCTTACAAATAATTAAAATAACATGCATACTATCACAACTTTTACAATATATGAGCAAAGGGCATTTGACCTAACGTTATCGTAGTTTTTGACTTTCTAGGAGGTCAGGGGTTCAAACCTCAGCAAATGTGAGGAGGGTGTGTGAGTTTATTTGTTGCATTTGTCGTTTATAAATTTTATATACTTAAAAAAAAAACTTTTTACAATATATGCAGTGGAAATATCTTACAATCAACTGAAAGTGAATAACATCTCAAGACTTCAGAGTCATTTACCAACACAAACAGGGTAAACACTTATCGGGTAAGAGACTAAGAGTCACCTCTTCGCTTATCAAGCAAGAGTCGGTAAGATTCTCGATCATCAAAAGAGCATAGTATAAGCATTTCTTACCTACTAATCACTAACCGAGTAACGGGTCGTTTACTAAACGATTACCACGTAAACGCTTATCAATAAGAGTCGCCACTTTCACTTGAAATACACATACCTTACACTAATATTTAGTGGATATATAACACACATATTTTCTTATAAAAAAAACGTGAACATATAACACACGTATTTTCTTTTAAAAAAATGAAATACACATACCATACACTAATATTTACTGGATATATCGTTCACTGCATAGGCATGCATTTTATTTAAAGTGTCATGACAATTGTTTGAATGTGTATTTTCACTCCTCTTATTAACGACACAACCTACATGAGACGTGTATGATGACTAGATTAGGAATGACAAAAGACATCATATCCAACAAGTAATCTGATACCGGAACCAGTTTTGACCCGGGATGAGATGGAGAATCCCTAAATTTATAAATCTGGGATGGAGATACCCTTCACTCCCGACCCCCAATAATTAATTATACAATTCTATGTGCATATATATATATACACATTGGGTATAATAACAAAATGTGAAACCCAATGAGTAAATATAATATACAATTATAATTTATCTTCTATGATGAAAACTTGCAAAATGAATTGCATTAATGATTTGGTTGTTTGTGACAATCTTTTGTTGATACAACGACATGATGGGTTGGGTTCTAACGAGAATGAACGTCATGGTGAGAATGATAACAAATGATCGCTTGTTCATCCTAACTGGAGAGTTCCACTAGATCAACACCAATGAGAAGCATGAGATCAATTCTCTTCTAAACACAATTCATGAGTTGGTTTTAGATTAAAAATGATCAAAGGTTCAAATCCCTTCTTACACTTCTCAGCTTAACTCTTATTCTCACAAGATCATTCGTCGAGGCATGATTACATAAGATTCCAGTTATTAAGTATTTAATTGATATATTTGTGTTTGAACTACATATTTTGATGTTACTCCTATACAAGTGCAACAATCAAAACTTGTGTGATTAAAATTTTAGCATTATATGTCATTTAAACATAAAATTGTCACGTATATACATTGTGTACACGGGAAAATACTTTATTCCTTGATGAGGATGAGAATGCGGATGGGGATGGGGATGGGGATTTGGCTCTTACGTCCGACCTTGTTGCCTTCTCTAGATTAGATCAACGACCAACCTTTACGTATAATACAAACGTGGAGAAACAACACAACCAATTCATACGACCATGTCACATGCCCCATAAGGTTATGTCATATAACATAAGACGCCTACGAATGCATACATAATGATAACAATAACAATAATAACAAGAATACTTATTAATTATTATTATTATTATTAAGAATGTTAATAGTTATAATACAATTAAGGTTGCAAACGAACCAAACATTCAGCGAACCGTTTGGCAGGAAGTTCGTTTATTTAATAAATGAATGGACATGAACAAATTTTTTTGTTCATTTAGTTAAACGAGCGAACATGAACAGGAGTTTCGTTCGTTCATTTACCGTTCGTTTATATACTAAATTTGATATATAATCATTTTGTTTATTTACTTTGAATTCAAATAATATTTATATATGTTTGTTTAGCCCGTTCGTTTATGTTCGTTCATTTACGTTCGCTAGCATGTTCGCGAACGAACATAAAACAAACACGAACACACCTGATTTCTAAACGAACGAACACGAACACAAAGATTTTCATTCGTTTGTTCGATTAAGTTAAACGAATAAACATGAACAAGCCTCCGTTCGTATTCGGTTTGTTCGTTTACAACCCTAAATATAATGCTTTATTTTTATTAACAAGAATAATGTATTTGAAAATGAGTTTCTTTTTCTTCTGATAAAGATTTGAAAATGTATTTGAACCCCTTGATAGGTTCATGTGATTCTCGTGTGTTTAGAAATCATTCTCATATTTGATTCCTATTCTCTTAAATCAAACATTACTTATCGTTCTATATATTTTTTTAAATAATTAACAGGGTATTCGTGCAATGCATCTAGATATATCTCGATTTTAGTGTTTCATTTTATTCCGTCTCTGTAGATGTTTTGATACGGTTTTTATATGGGTTTGAGAAAAAAAGATAATGTTTTTGTTTTTGAACGAAATATAAATTTGAAAATATCATAAAATTTCGAAAATAAACATATCAATATTAATATCAAATTAACTATTTAAAAATTATTGTTTTTTGTGTAATTTCTTTAATTCAATTTTATTATTATAATTTAATTTAGATTTAGTAAATAAGTAATTTATTTTTGATTTAATAATATAATTTTTTATAAGAATAATGATTAAGTATTTTGTTAAAACTCAAAGATTATCCTAATTATATTTTAGATTTTTTATATTTAAAATGAAATGTGTATCTTGTATTTGACTATGTTTATATAGAGTTAGTTACACGAATTCAAACATTAAACTTTAATAAGTTGTACCTACGCATAGTTTATTTGTAATCTTAAATTTTAAGTAATATGCATCAATAAATAGTACTTCATGCATAAAAAAAGTTTTTGTAAAATGCTTTATAGTATAGTATATAGATAACCATAGATTAATTTACCATAAATTTAAAAGATACAAATGAGTAAAAAAAATCCCGTTTGGTCGCAGAGGTTCAAATGTGGTGACTCCGGACTACCTGTAAACGGGATGGTTGTCATGAAATTAGTTGGCTTGCATAGCATGTTGGATATTCAAGTTAATCAATATATATATATATATATATATATATATATA